GCTATCAGAACTGAAAAGCATCAAGTCAATTCTGTTCAACCACAATGTGGGCTGGCCGTGCAGAAAACGCCGTTCTGCAAAGTGACAACCGGTGTCCTGGGCCTAATGATAGGGAAGTTAGAGTTGTCTGTGGCAGCGGCTGATTTTGGTTTCTCACTGAAGCTTTTATCTAGCATTTCCTCGGGGATGACAGGTCCAGGGAAGGCAGCTGTCACTTGCCATTGCTGTGACCCTTAAGTGGGATAGCAGGCAAAGTAGGGAAAGACTGTGACCTCTCACCATTCCTTCTAGAAGAAATTCACCCATGGGGCAGAGGGGTCTTAAATCCTGAATATTCCAGAGGAAAGAGCTGAAGAGATCTGGGTTACAGTCCTGGCTCCAAGGTGGATCAGCTGTGCCTTGAGTTTTGGGTTCAGACACACATGGACTCAAATCCCATCTCTGTCACTTGCAGACTATGACCTTGGGCGAGTCCCACACCTCCCTGAGCCTCAAATTCCTCATCTGTGAGATGGGCTCATAACAGACCTAACACAGAGGACTGGAGAGTGTGATAATGAACATACAGCGCCTGGACACAATAAATTCTTAATCAGGTTAGATGTCACGGGTCTTTTCCCACGGCCAACTCCCTATGCCTCAGTTTCACTTCTGCAAGATGAGGACCCTAAAAGAACAGCTTCAAGGGCTGCTGTGAGGACCCAACGAGATGACGGGCGCCAAGACCGCAGCCTAGGACATATATTCCCTGAAAAGGGAGCTGAGGGTTGTGGCCTCAGTTTCCGCATCTGCAAAATGGGCACTTGATCCCCTGCAAGGGCCAGGAACCCCCGAACAGCAGCGGAGACGGCTGCTCTTCTCCGCTCCGAACCCCTCAGATCCCTGTGGCCGTCCAGCCCAGTCGCTCCCTCAGCCCCAGCCTCTCAGGGGCGCGCCCAACCCGGGCCTCCGGCGACCCCGGCCGCTCCCTCGCCCCTCTACCTATGGTGGAGATGAAAGTGGAGTTGAAGGCGTCCTCGGAGAAGCGGAACAGGACACAGGTCTTCCCCACCCCCGAGTCCCCGATCAGCAGAAGCTTGAACAGGTAATCGTAGGTCTTCGCCATATTACACTCTCTCCCCGACGGGAAGTGCGGCCAGCGCCTCGCCACTGGCCGCTGGCCCCGTCCATCAACGCCCAGTCCTCCTCCCATTGGCTTCCAGCCTATTGCACGTCACCGTGACCGATGCCCGCCCCGCGCCCCGCCCGTCGCGGGGAGACCTGGGGAAGGGGCGAGCTGGGCGCGGAGCCGGAAGCGGCCCGAGAGCCTCGGTCATTGGCCAACGCTCGGGACAGGGCGAACTACGATTGGCCAGCGGTGAGGAGTCTAGGGGCTTCAAAAGAAGACCAAGGCAAGGGGCGTGGCATCCTGTGTCCCCGCTTTCTTCCATGACTTTAGGGAAGCCCCGCCTCACCCCGCGAGGAGGGGGAGCGCTGGGAGCAGCGCCAACGGCTCTGCGCCCCCGCAACCCGGGGCGGGGCCTGGGGAGCTTGCGCAGACGCTCCAGGGAAACCGTTAGGCGCCAGCAGAGGGAGCGCGCGCGTAGGGTCTCTGGCTCCCGCCTTCTCGGCTCGCGCAGGCTCAGTAGGCGCCGGGAAGAGCGCGGGAAGGCGCGACGGCTTTGGCGGTGTCATCTGGAGGTCTCCGCTTCGGGCCAGGGGAATCCGAAGAGGAAAGGAGAGTAGGGGCCTCGTCACAGTCGAAGCGAGGCGTCCCCTCTGCCCC